ATTTATGTCTTTAAGCCTTTTATCCTTTCCTGCCTCATCTCTTTTTAGGGATATTTCCTCAACATTTAAGGTACTAAGTATCTAGTACTTTTCATATTTTCCTCTCTGGTCATATGAGGAAAAACTGATTTAGTCCTATAAAGCTATAAACTTATCTGTGCTTGCTGGGCAGTGTGCCCTTCACAGTCCTTAGAATGTTTAGAGCCAGACTTAAAATTCAAACTACAAATGTATTATTTAACTTTAAGACAAAGAGCAACTTATACCATCTCTCTGACCTACGCTGTCCTTATCTTTAGGATATAGATTGTATACTGAACTTAGGGTATTGAAAAGATTAAATAAGACAGTATATGAAAAGTGAGTAACACAGTACCTACTTTTTATTGGTGGCTTGACTCTTCACTGAAACTTACTCATCTTAAGTGCTTTTAAGTCATTACAATTTTATAGTAGCTTTTTGTGTGTGTGCTGAGGATTGAATTCAGGGCCTAGGCAAATGTTCTACTATTGAGCTATACCCTAACCCATGGTGTTTTATCTGTACTGTATGAAACATTTTAATCCCTTAAATAAATCTTAGCCATCCATAGTCACATAATCACATGGACAGTTGGGAAGAAAGAAAGCTAGTCTGTGACCTTAACTACCATTTTACAATAAAATGGTAGAAATTGACAGCATCAGAAAGGAGGTACATATGATTTATTTCCCTTTCTCTCTTTCTCTTCAGTAATCTGCTGAGCCATTAGAGAGGGTCTCACATGGCAACAGGAAGCCTGAGACTCTTTCCCAGGACTGTGAGTCTTAACTCGTTCCAGGCCATTACTGCCACTTGTCTGGCGGGGCCTCTCTATTCAGGCTGTCTCTATAGAGTACAGGCTCTACTTGGTATCATCTGGCCTCTTAGTTTTCTTGGTTTCCTTCAGCTCAAATACTCAGCATGCCCTAAGGCTTCCTTTATAAAACTTTAAGCTTTCTGAAAGTATGATATTTCAACCAGCATTACAGGGTTTTGTTTTGTTTTTAAAATTCATTGTTCTAAAATATTTATTGTGTGCTTACCAGCAGCACAGTTTTGCTTGTATTACACAGATTAAAAAGGTATAAAACAAACAAGACAGTTTATCTTTTTAAGTTTGAAGGGAAAATGAAGACATATGATTGAATATCAGAAGCAAATAAAAGGCTAAATATCACAAGAGAGGCATTGGCCGAGAAGTTTGTCTTATTTACTTCACTCTTGTTGCTGGGACAAAAGGCCTGACACTCCAAATTTAACGGGAAAGGTTTGTTTAGCTCACAGTTTGTAGAGTTTTCAGTCTGTAATCAGCTAGTTCTAAGGCAAGGTGTCATATGGGAGAGAGCCACCAATTCATGACAGCAGAAGGCAGCAAAAGTAGCAAAGGGGAGGGGTCCCTTACATTGTCTCCAGTCTACCAGAAGTAGGAAGGTTCCAATCCAGTCAGTGGACTGATCCAGAAATCACCTATGTTTAATCCTCCCAGCATTGCAGCACCAATCAATCACACCCTCAATTCAGCCATGTGATAAACCCCTATGACTGCATTAGGCTTTGGAGGAACATCTAGACACAAACCACAGCAGCCAAGATGGGGCCTAGAAGGGAGAAAAGAGGTGAGATTAAAGATATCACCCAGCTGGAATGAATCTAGAAAACCAGAGGTCACTTTTTTTTTTTTTTAAATGTATTTGGTACAGGGTCTCTCTATTCAGCTTAGACTCATAGTGATCCTCCTATTTCAGTCTCCCCAGTGCTGGGATTATAGGCTTGTACTGCAACAACCAGTCTCAGTGGCCAGCATGCCTAAGTGGTGGGGCCAGTGAGGCCTGTGGTACTGGGGATCGAACCTCAGTCCCTGCACTTGCCTAAGCAAGCACTGAGGCTACTGAGCCGGCCACTGAGACTGGGAGTGATGGCACACACCTACAATCTCATCGCTAGGAAGGCTGAAAACAAGAGAACCTCTGAGTCTGAGCTGTATAGTGAAACCCTGTACCAAATACATTAAGAAAAAAAACAAACAAACCCTTCTATATGGCTTCTTATCTGTTTAGAGAAAAATGTCAAGTCCATACTGCTCTACAAGCTCTAGTCTGTAGATTAGAGGGAATACCTTCCACTCCTTAGTTTATGTTTTCCTCTACTCTCTTCCTAGCTACTCCTTCTTTAGCTGTATTGGATCTTTTAGCAGAGCTCCCACATGAGAGGCCTGGACCTCTTCTCCCAGATAACTGCGTGCTTCCGTCTTTCCAGTCGTCTTTAATGGAGAGCTCTAGTCTGACATCTCTGTATCGCATCCCCTTCTGCCTCTCAAATCACTCCTCATGCTGCTTAATCTGTTGTATTTTACTTTAGAGTACTTATGAAGTGTGTATATAAGGAGTCGATAATATATAGTGGTTTGCTTGTTAAAGATGGACTTCTTTGAATATTAAAGATGATTGAGTAAAGGAAATGCTACCTCATAATGTGATACTTGGCACACGTGAGAAAACAGTAGAAGCAGAAAGATCTCTGGCCTTAGCTTTTGCTTTCTCTGGCAACCTCTTGTTTTTCCCAGAGGCCATAAGAATGATTCTCTAATCTGACTTCCCTGAAAGTAGGTCATAGGCTCCTTCTATGTCAGGTATCCTGTCTTCTCTACTTGAATGAAGCAAGATGTGGTATTTTTATACAGTGGAGTACTACTCAACTATAAAAAAGACAAACTGAAGGTTTTCTTAGGTAAACAAATGCAACTATAGAGCATACTTATAAGCAGAATTAGTAGAAACACACACACACACACACACACACACACAATCAGAACAAGCCTTGCTAAGTAAGATTCATCTAGTATATTCATCTAGTTTCGGTTATACCTCCTTTTTCTTCCACCTTCCTTCTACACAACTATTCATTTTTATAAAACCTAAATATAAAATACAGTTTTCTTTAGGCCTTTGAGTCCTCCTCACTAAAGCCTCTCATGTCACATAAAACTGGTGAAACAGTTTAGTTATGCTTCTCCTTTCGTGCTGTATCTCTTACAAATATGTCAGCCATGAACCCTTGAATGGGTTAGGACAAGACCCTACTTTTTCTTTCCTACTTATGCTTCCCTCAGGGAGGGTATACTCACTATTGTGTTCCTAGTGACAGTACCTGACACACCCTTCATACCCAGATATTTACTGGAGGGAAAAAAGGAACAGAAGAACAGAAAAGAAATCTGAGGGAAAGAAAGAGTTGAATATGGCCCCTATAGTATTTTGCACATCAATCAAGAGAATAAAAAAATGATTCATTAGCCAGTAGGTTACCATTGAAAGATTTGAACAGGAAAATGAAGGCAAAAGTACTTTGTTTTAAAAATTAAGCGGGTGATGATTTGTAAATGAATTCAGAAGGTACATCGACTCTCATTCTCCTTCCCAATCCAGAATTTTGTAATGTGGCTCTATGTTTATCTACATATGTTTTGTTTTAGAGAACTTTTAATTTTGAAATCATTGGACTCACAGGAAATTATGAAAATAGCATAGCAAATTTTCTTTGTGTACTTTCCCTTCAGTGGTACTACTGTGTATTACTGCAAAACATTGTCATGAACTAGAAAGGGAACTTGGTGTAAATCTATTTACTTAGGCATAGACCTTAGTCAGATTTAATCAAAATTTACATTTGTTTTGTGTAGCATGCAATTCTATGAAGTTTTATTATCTGATTTTGAAGTTTTTGACAAAATGTTAGAAAATACTGTGTTTATTATGATTCTCCTATATTTTGGTTTCTCATCATTTATATATGAATAAAGTGAATGATCTGTGATTTTATTGTCTGTTCTACATTGGGTGGGTCTTGTAGGCAAGTAACCTTTCTTTTCTGCACTAAAGTTGTTTTGCGAGTTTTACTTCACCAATATTGAAAAGTTATATTACTTACTAGGAAGGACCAGGAAGATAATTCTACAGTCAAAGCACCTGCCTAGCAAGCACAAGGAGCCAAATTCAATACCCTGTACCACATGCTGTTCCAGCCCTGGAGGGTTCGGCCATGCTGTGCAGCCCTGAAACCAGGCGTGATGGCCCTCACCTGTAATCCCAGCACGGGGGTGGGGGGTGGGGAGGGCTGAGACATGACAATCTCGCTATGAGTCTGAACTGTGTAGTGAGATACTGTATCAAATTAAAAAAAAAAAAGAATTTCAAAATGATAGTAGGAAGCTAATACTGATCTATGTATAATATATAATGCACATTACACAGTGTTATCTTCAAAGTAGTTGCTAAGGCTACAAGATACAGGTATGCAAACCTGATCAAACAATATAAGCACAAGCCGTTTTTTCCAATGAATAGAAATTATCTTTGCTATCATATATATATATATATATATATATATATATATATATATGATTTTTTTCTTTTCCCTTCTTTTCTTCATTTCCCCATCTCAAGTGTTCTTTTCTTTGAGCAGTTTCTTTTCCTTTCACAATATGTATTGTACATTTTGGATCTTACTCTTTCACCATGTTTACACATGCAAGTCTGATTTATTTCACTTATAAGTATGGTTTCTACTTACATCCATTTACCTATGAAAACCTTGAGTTTATCTATACTCCATTGTATAAAAATACCACATCTTCTTGACCTCAGTTGATGGCGTTTTGGTTTTAGCCAAGATTTGGTTATTAAAATTGTGCTACTATAAATAGCCATGCACATATGCTTCCAGGGTATGGTATTATTAATTCTTCTGGGAAAATACCCAAAAGAAGAATAGCTAGGTGGAATGGGACTTCAAATCCTAATTTTTTGAGGAATCTTCATACTGATTTCCACAGTGGTTGTTCCAGTCTACACTCCCACCAACAGTGAGGAAGGGTTCCCTTCCAGCATTTATTATTGATTGATTTCTTGATGATAGCCATTCTTTCTGGGGTATGTTAGAATCTCAGTGTTGTTTTAACATGGTTATGCATTTCTTATAGGTTCTGAGTTCTATTCGTACAGAATGGGATCCACTGGATGTTTGCTTCAGTACCAAACAGCCTTATCAGGTGTTCACAGTGGAACACTTCATCAGTGTAGACAAAGAGCCCATGGCTGACAGTTGCATCTATGAATGTGTTCAGAACAAAATCCACTGTGTATCAGTCACCAGAATACCACTAAGATCGAAAGCCATCAGCTGCTGCAGAAATGTTGCTGAAGACAAACTGATTCTAGGCTGTGAAGATTCTTCAGTAGTTCTTTATGAAGCTCACCGTAGAGTGACTCTCTTCGCCCAAGCTGAACTCTTGCCTTCATTAATAAGCTGCCACCCAAGTGATGCTATTCTGCTAGTTGGCAGCAACCAGGGGGAACTGCAAATTTTTGATATGGCTTTGTCCCCTATTAATATCCAGCTCTTGGCTGAAAACTGCTTACCCAAAGAGACTCTGCAATTCAGTAAATTCTTTGATGTTTCCAGCAGTCTTGTTCAAATGCAGTGGATAACTCCTCCAGTTGTTTCTCAGAAGCCTGCAAGTGAAGATATATATGATCGCTTCTTCCTCAGGTTTGACAGAGGCCCTCTAGGTGTGCTTTTGTTTAAACTTGGTAAGTAAAGGTTTGTGAGTTAGTACAATACTGATGATATTGACATAACTAAGACAATAAAACTGTTCTTGGAGTGCTAGTTTTTCTATTTGTCATTAATATAATGTCCTTAGAAAGGCTTTGTGGATGATTTCTAAATGTCAAAGGAGTATTAGATATTAAAGAATTAAGAAGTTATATTATTCATGATATTTGAAAAGCATAAACTTTCACGTGATATTCTCTAAAATTGTCCTACTACAGCATTTCTTAAGAAATAGGTGACTACTTTTTAAGTTTTTTCTTTATCAATTGAAAAACACTGTGGTATAGGAGTATAATACTTTTGTAAAAAAATTATTATGGATTATCTTTAACTGTTGCCTGCCAGTGTATAACTGCATGAAGTGTTTTTTAAAAAGAAGGTAGATGCATAGTTAAAAATTGTGAAAGCTATTTGTGTTAACTTTTTGTTTTATTTCCCCTTTGGATAAAAACATTGAAAAGGATTTTTGATGTCTACAAAATTATATGTTAATGTAACTCATTTCAACCAAGAAACTTTAAAATGAAATTTTGTTATGATTCATTTGAGTTTTGTAGCATTGCATCATCACATACATCCTAAAGTAGCAATAGCAATTCTAGATAGTGTATAATTTAATATCTTGAGATACCTAATTTAGGTTTTAAAAAGTGTATTCTAATTAATTAATACATTATGGCAATTTAGAAAAGTAAATACATTTTAAAACCTTTTACAAATTTGCTCTTACACACTTTATAAAGGTATTGTGTTCTTAATTAGCTAGCTCTCAGTTTACTGTTTTTGTGAGTGTACTTATCCCTGAAGTTGAACATATGAAAGAAACCCAGTGGAATTGACTTGATTAACATATAAGATAGGCACTTAATGTATGCACTTAATGTAAGATCTGTATTAACTTCTGCATAAGAAAAATGCAACTAAATTCATAATGTTAATAATTGTGCAAGAAAAAAATGTTTGGAGTCTTATTTATTATGAGATAATCCGGTTATACTTTGCCCAACTACATGTTTAACAGTTGTATGTCTCCATACATAGCACTAATTAAAGTGGGTGTTTGATGTTTTGCATGTCTGTTAAAACACACACATACACTCCCTTTCTTTCTCTCTCTCTCTCTTTCTCTGTCTCTCTGTCCCTTTCACCCTTTAAATTACTCAGTTACCTGTCAAACAGAAGGCTGTCTGCCCACATATACCTAGCTTTTCTTCAGCCCTCCCTTGTGGGCCTGCTCACAACAGCTTTGCAAAAAGCACAGCTTTCTCTTCCTATCTCTAGCACATTTGCCTTCTTACTAAAGTAAACAGGCTCTCAGTGTAGGGATTTAGAGGGCTTCCTGCTAATTGCCAGCTTGTAAACTTAATTGGACTGTCTCCCTGGGCACTGTTCCTAAATCAATTAAGCAATGAGTTGGCTGTCACCTCTTTTTCCCAAGAAGGTCTCTTGGAAGAGAATTATCCAATAGAAGTCAAGCATTCATATAAAAAGGTGATAACTTTTGCAACTGACATTTATCATTTAAATTTTATTTTCAATATGACCCTGAAGTTTTATAGGATAGGGAAATTATACACCGACTCTTTAAAAGATCTAATAAATATGGGATTGATTTCTATGAATTTTGTAAGCTTTGTTTCTCATTTTTAATGAATTATAAAATTAATATTTATATCAAATTATTTTTCCTGGGAAGAGTAGATTCCTTCAAATAGTAGACTCCAACTAGCAAAATTTTTAAAAATGAAAACTCCGTTTAAAGAACAGATTTTTCTTATGATTTGCTACTAAATACATCCAAAAATTAATATACTTCTTGAATTAACACAGTGCTGATTCTGGGCATCCATGTGGAATTTTCATGTATAATTCAAGTTACTGCATATGTAAACAGGTAGTTGCATGTGCAGTTTTTCCACTAGGGAACATTTATGAGATTTTTTTTCAGATGCTTGTTATGCAAGCCTTTGGAAAATTTGACATGAAAGGTGTAGCTTACAATTTAAAATTATAAAGATAGATCATAGATCATAGTTTAAAATAGAATGTGGTCATATGTAAACGTGGCAGTGGCTGATGCCAATATGCTAAGATTTTTGGAGTTTGACTCTTAGATTAGGTCAGTTAGTATAACATTGACGGAAAACTGTTCCATGGGTAGTTTCCATTCTTAGTCCTTACGGTGATCACACAAAAAGAAATGTTGAGTATTACAGCATTTAGAAGGTTCCAAATACATGTCTTACTCAGGAAGCACTAGAAGTGTCAAGCTCCTACTAGGAAGCCAAGAAACACTGCTTTATATAAAGCAGAATGTACAGTATTCAGAATTCTTTATATGACAGCCATTATCTTATATTTCTACATTCATAGAGTGAGGTTAATTAAAAAGGAAAAAGCTCTAATTGTGCCACTGAGATATTAGAGCTCTTCCATTCTCTTCAGAACCTTTTTCAACCTTCATTGCTCTCTTTAAACTCACAGGATCAGCTTCCTCTTTCCTCAACAGAGCCACATACTTTTTAACTGGCACTTCATTAAGCTTATCAGTGCCTTACCACCCACCCAACCATTTAACCTTTATCATGAATCTTTCTCTCAGAAGTTACAGAACAAGGAACCCTATTTCTTGTCCAGAACTAGTTCCACCACTACATCTACTATGTATCCCACATCATTCCCTTTGACACCTTCACTTTTTCATCTTACTCATTCCCCTAGAATCTTGCTACATTAGCGAATGAACAGGCCCAAGCTACACCTTAAAAAAACTAACTCTTCACTGTATGTTTCCCCTTTCTTATTGACCCAAAGGTTCACTTTCCTTTAATAGGCAAAGTCATTGAAATACTAGTGAACACTGACTTTCTCTGCTTTTTCCCTTCTCTTTTATTCCCGAGAGGACTGCATTCTGCTTTGTGTCTGAAGTGTTGTCTTGGAATTAATCTTTGAAAGGTCACCTCTGACTCCCTATGTGATAAATGTATTTGTCTTGCATTTGATGACATTTCAGTATTTCGTGGTTGCTGACAATATCCTCTGTTGCAGAACTGTTGTTATATTTGCCTTCTATGACCCTAAATGCAAAAATCTCATCACTGTTGTACAATCTTCTTTTGCCTACTCATAAAATGTTAGGGCTTTCTAGGGTTTCTGTTCTGAACATGGTTTCTGTTTTTAGTTCTTGTCTCTTTTACAGGTTGAGAGTTTATTTTTAACTTAGCTATATTCTGTGGTTTGAATTTCTTCTGCAAAATTCATGGTAAGATTTAATTGCCATTCTAACAAAATGAAGGGGCAGGGGGCTTTAAGAGATGAATAGGTCATGGGGGCTGCACCGTCCTGAAAGGATGAATGTTGTTGTTGTGTTTTTGCTAGAAGTTTGTTCCTGTCTTGTGCATGTTCACTTGTGTTTTTCCATGTTATGATACAGCAAGAACAACCCCCCCAGATGCTGTCCCTTGATTTCAGTTTTCCCAGGCTCCACAACTATGAGAGGAATATCTTTCATTACTTTTAATTTACCTATTCCATTGTAGTAAAATCACATAGATTAAGATACTCTTCTGTCTCTGACAGCAGCCCAGATAATCCTAACTTCATATCCGCCCATTTACTTGGCTTGCTGGATGCTGCTCAGACTCATTGTATCATGAAGTCATTGTCACTCTCCTCATTACTTTCCCCAAACACTTCCTCTCGTAGGTTCCATTTTGGTGGATGTTACTTCAAATGAAACCTCTACATCAAAACTCATCCTAGAATACATCCTAACACCTAATGTTAGTGACCAAATCACATTAATTCTGTATCCTACATACTGTCACAAAACCTCTCACTCAGTTCAGTCTCACTGTTAATATCTTATTTACATAGTCCTATTTCATCATAATCAAGTAGAAGCCCTTTTTCTACACTCTTCAGCCTTCTGATTTTCCCATCTCCCCTTGCCTTAGTACACATGAATTGCATCAGAGTGATCATTCTAATAGTACAGATTTAGCCCTGGATTGTCTAGCTGGAAATACCTTAGTGATGCATCAGCCTCTGTCTGCATCTTGGGCTTCTTCCTCCCAGCTGTGTTGTACTAATATCACTTCCTGACCATGCATGAGCTTTCCAAATCACTCTTTCCATGATGGTGGCAATAGTACACTGTTTACCTGGAGCGACCCTGGGGCGTACTCAGAGCCTACAAAGTTAGGAAAAGAGTAAATAATGAACCAACAATATTAAACAACAGCATTATTATCCTGCTTATAATATTTTGAGAATTGAAGGTGATGTGTATATGTGTCTGTCTCTCTTCGTATAAAAAGCTAGAAGTCTGACCTTTGTCTTAGAAACTTTTGTAATATATATGTTCACTTCAAAAGTTACTTTCAGTGAATTATTTCAGTATGACACTTTGTATAAGTGGTGACTGATGGTAGTTTATTATTGGGAAGAAATGCCATTTTATTAGATGCTCAGTCATCTTGAAATTGGGATCTCTTATGTACAATGAACTTTGTTGTAGATATCATTCTGTGTCTTCATACCAGAATGATGATGGATTTTTAAATCAAGTCACTTGAGGTATAACCTACATAAATATATCCATTTTAAATATATAGTTCAGTGATTTTAGGTGTGTATGTTCCCACCATTGCTGCCACAATCAAGTTATGAAACATTTCCTTCATCCCAAAACATTTTACCAACCTCTCTCAAAGCTGATGATGACTGATCTACTTTCTGTCACTATGAATTAGACTTCTGTTTTTATACAATTTCACAGGAATGAAATCATATGTTGGACATTCTTTTGTACCTTGGAATATTTATTCTGCATAAATCTGTGAGAATCTTTCACAGGAATGGGATCATATGTTGGACATTCTTTTGTACCTTGGAATATTTATTCTGCATAAATCTGTGGGAATCTTCCATATTAGTGTATATATCTATAAACTTTTCCTTTATAATATGAGTA